CGTCTTCCTCTTATCTCTTCTTTTCCTTAAACACTGCGACCATCATATTGACGAGGTACTGTCGCAATGCTGATTTAAGACGTATACGACTTAATGGACCGAAACGTCTTATCTCATTCTTGCCACCTTTCCTCATTCTGTTTCTGTTTCAATGCGCCTTCGACACTCCGGCATCCTAGGTTAATCTGTATGTTACAATCGGCATAGGTGAATGATTAGAATAGCAGTGATAATAAAAACAGTAGTGAAATATGCGCACGAACATTATTAACAGGTTTCTTACGTGGGTTGTGCGAACAATTTTAATAAAACGAACAATTTAGGAAGGATGAGAAAGAAGTGGCCTCATGATCAGTCATAACTAAAAAACGGAAAGGTAAGAAAAGAGTTATGAAAGGAATTTGTAGCGTTATTTGCAGAATTGAAGTTGCTATAAGGATATGATTAAACTAAAAATAAGTGAAATTGAAGTACAAAACAGGTTGTATAAGTAAAATGTGTGATGCAAATTTAATACGTAAAACGTATCATTTACAATGTAATCCTAACTACAACTGCAGCAGCAACGATGTCAAAAATAACAGCAGCAGCAGCAGTGAAAGCAATTGCAGCCACAGTAATGATGACGGCAGCAGCAGGTATTACTAAAATCAGTACTTTAATATAAACCTTTAAGTACTGCAGGCCCGGCATTTAAATGTATAGCATCATGATTCCTTCCTAGATAGGTCATGTAGTGGCGCGAAGCGACTTATATAAGGCCGCTGTGTCAGTATTGTAAAGCAGTGTTGATCCAGTGTGGTGTTGTGGTACTGTGGAGGCGGCCAGACGATTCATGGACACGAACCCTACCACCCTGAACTGTCACTAAGGAGTCAACGACCCTATTGTACAAGCCGGTGCACCGGGGCAGTCGACCAGCCCCTTAGTCACCAACCCAACAAATGTGTAGAGTGAGAAATTTAATTGTTTTCATTGATATGAATTTATTTTAGTGATGAAATTTCAAATAAGCGCGTTTGCATTCACTGAGATTGAAAAGGAACGATTATCGATGGCTCGATGTATAACCTAGTCACTGCGGATTGATGCTTCCGTTGCTTCAGCTTGCTCTTATTCACTTATATTTGTGATCCTAGTTAGAAATAAATTTTAAATACAACAAAACTGTTGCTATGCAAGCAAAGCAAGTTTGCTGCGATGCCCTTTGCGGGTAAAAAGTAAGATAAGTCTGAAAAAAGTCTGGAAAAAAACTTACCAGGTACTCGCATTATCAAAGAACACCACCAAAACATACTGCTGATAATTCTTTGGCTTTGCACTGAACATATCGTCTATGGGTAAATCAGGTAAAAGTACCTAAAAACACTTGCAGTACAGTTAAGTTGAAAAATGGTAATTACTAAATTAAGCGTCGTTACATTAGAAATTTATCAGAAGAACAAACCCTCATGCGTAAATCAACAACTCTTCCAACCATACGTTCACCATTCTCCTCCACCCAGACAATGTCTTCGTGTTGAAAATCACAAGCAATTTCCACCGTCTCTGAAGCAGCATTTCATGAATGGTGTGATACAAATGTGGCAAATCTTCCCCTTCAGGAAAAAAGAAATGTGAAATGGGTTGCACGACTAAAAAGTGATATAGCTTCGGTC